TACATGCCCCCCAATGTAATTTCAACGTCTCAAGTCTATTTTTACCAGTCAGTAGGTTTGAATCTCGGTAAAACAATTAACTGTTTCGGTCGGGCAGGGCAAAGAAGCCAGAGCCACTACCTGTGTGTAAATAAGATCGATCAGTGAACGATATAAAAGCCCCATGGCCCAAAGGAACCAGTCGATACGAGCATTTTACGCGTAAATTTATGAAACATTAATGTTTTATTGGTACTAAAAATCGTCCCGCAAAAATCGCGTGACAGCCCGATTTCGCGTAAACAAAGCGTCTTCCGTTTAAAACAGGTTTTATTGTCGTCATTAATTTTGACATTGTAGACATTCAAGTGTATGTTCGAAAAATGTTCATTGTTGTATGGTAGGATTAGTGCTTTGACTTATTAACATTATAGTTTTTTTTATGGTCAGAGGAGAGATAGGCATAGGGATTACCTAAGGAAGAGGGTTGGAAGATGAAACCCCAGCCACATAACGTCTAAATAAGATAATCTGACAATCCACAAAATGCCCCCGAAACGCGACGAAAATAAGTTTAACTAATATATCGCGTTTTAAACCGTTAAAGTGTTTTATTTAAATGTGTACTACTCGCGTAAACGATAGACAGTAGTCCTGGTAATACTGAAATTCGACTAAAAGAGGCATAAACTCAAACGTGCGGCGGCTACGAAAAAATAAATCGCTCGTGAAATATCAGAACTCTTTGCCGCACTTGTCCCATCTCTTTCCCTCCTCAGTTAAGTGAGAAGGACGGCGATTGTCGTCCGTTGATTATCTCCAATTGAATTGGTAAAGCGTACCGGTTTGGTTCAGATTTGGCGGGATCGTATGGAATGGAATTACGTGCGCGATGTGGAAGTTATGGGTTTCGCCATCGGATTAAGCTGAGGGGATATCGAAAAAATCATTCTTCGATCTCATTATCCTAATATGGATCTCGAAACCCCATTTCAGGCCGAACGAGGACGAGGGAATCTAAGATATAATAATACTATTTCTTCTAAATCTTCAACAACCGCTGCTGTAATCATTTGAGAGTACTTGTTAAAATAAAATAGTATAAATTAATAATGACATTCATATCAGGCAGATTTAATAAAACATGTCTATTTCACCAAGAATGTATTTAAATAAAACACAAAATTATTAGTTGATATAGCTGCTGCAAAGCGTCTAAAACATCGCACTGTAGTAAAAATGAATTAAATAACTTGATTAATATATTTTGCGCTTTAAACCGTTAAAAGTTTAATTCGAATATGTACTACTCTCGTACTCTTTAATATTTAAATATGTATTCCTTTGTGCTGAGCAATTGTATTTTTGGTAAAATTAATTTATTTAAACATTTAAAACGACCCGTGCCTTAAAACACTTATATAAAGTATCATTTTAGAAGCAGACAAAATATATTAAGAATATATATAAGAGACAGATTGTAATGGGAAGCTTTATTTGCAACGTCCATGCCAATATCGAGTTGAAAACTTCATCTAACCATTGATTAAACTAATAGGTCAGAGTGTTCGGATGCGAGGCTGTTTGTCTATTATATTCCGTCTAACGGAAGGTAGTCGAGATTGCGTCCATTGTACTACTTCATCTCCACGCTTCGTTGGAATCTGACAATAACAACATACTAGCTACGTTTACCCGCAGTGTATTCCGCTGGTGGATTTTTTAAATAAGTGTCTTGAGCGACGTAAAGATTCGTAAGACAAAGTGAAGGTAATAAATTTAATCTTAGTGGACGATGACGCAATTAATATTATGTTTATTATTATTTTATACTGAGAATTGAAATAATTTGTACAAAATTATTTACTTTACAAAATATAAAAATGTACATTCATATTGACGTTTTCGCTTTTGCCGACGCTACCAAAGTGCAATCCGTAATTCGTTGAAAAACAAATTTGAAGTGACTTTTATTGGGTGAAATATTCGAGTGAGAGTTTCGTTTAAACCGCCCTATCATTTCAGAGGTAAAATACAATAAACACAATAGATTCTTACGTTACAAAAATGCCTAGGAGTCTATTGACGTTGGTTTTCACTATGACTTGAAGTATTTTAAACTTACAAGAGTAATTAAAATCGCTATTAATTGTTGAGTACTAGGCAAAAAATCATTTTGGAGTCGTCCTAACATGTACCCAGGTCTTCTTCAAAGCACCGTAGAGGGCTAGTGGTGTGTTTAGTGGTTCTTAGCGGGTCACTATTGCCCGACGTGGGACGCGCATTAGGCATTCACACCATCAGTAAAAAAAAGTCAAAAAAATCATGAAAGAGAATAAGACAAAATAAGGTTAAAATATTTTGTTTCTTTGTCCGTAGATGAATATGACATGTAAAGTTCTCGTTTATCGTCATAATACTCCATACATTGGAAGTTAAGTCTGGCCTTGACCATTTCCACTGCGTTTCCTCATTTTTGTGCTATCGCCATCTACGTCAATGCGTTTATGTATCCATTTATAAGCATCTAAAAGAAAGAACTGGCTTTAAATTTGCCAATAAAACGTTGAATATGATGTTTAAGAAAAAAAAGTTTATGACAAGTTCGGGACTATACTGTCACGCTGATTTTCATCGAATTAGTTGAACCCGTTTACATACACAACTCTTGCGCAATGTAGGAAAGATCGAGATCATAGATAGGGAACATTTATCTGCTTTAAAAATAAGCGTTTAAATAGAGCTGTATTATAAAAAATAATTGAAAGGGTAGTTAACTAATAACGAAAGCCAATATAGGACGACAGGACATTCTGGTTGGATGTTATTGCTGGGGTTTCTCACGTACCATCAAGTGAATCTCATGCTTGTCTATCTTCATCTATCATAAAAAACCTAATATATTTCGCGATGTAGCCGTTAAAAGTGTTTTATTTAAATGTGTACTCCTCGCGTAAACTAGAGACAATATTGCAATATTTATGAAATATTGATAAACATTAGAGAAAAAGCAATAAATATTATCGGTCCATGAAACTCAAGGCCAAGTAAGTGTTAGTTAAATTGTATAAAACGCTACGATGAATGGTTGATAAAAACTTTCGTTTAATTGAACGAGTCGTTTTACGTTTTTATCACAATTACTTGGATCAGGACATCGGAGTGACCTCAATCGTTTAAGGCGGTGCGACACACGCGATTTTTAGATAAATCCTGTGTGCCGTTCACTTAAGTTCTCAATCGTAAAGGGACACTCTTCCAGTGCTGGTTGCCCTATAAGCTATCCCTCTAGGCCCAAAGATCGGCATCGGGTTAGATTTTTTAATGAAATTCAAGATAACGAGGTTATAATTTCGCCAAGGTCAGACTTCAAACCTAAACCTTTCAGAACTAGAATAAGGAGGCAGTGGGTCTCAACTCTAGAAGCATAATCTAAACTATCATATAAAGCCAAAGAGTTTGTTTGTTTGAATGATGCTAATCTCTAGGATTACTCGTGGGAATTAAAATATTATTTTTGTATTGGTTAGAACATTTTTCGAGAAAGGATACATGCTATAAAACCTCGCACCGTGAATAATAAGAGTAAAGAAACAGCGGGATATGTGAAGAAAACGGGGAAATTTTTTCATCTTTGTGGCTTCCCCTTGAGAAAACTGTTCCAGATACCCAAAACATATATTTATGAAATAATCCCTAAATTATTTTTAAAAAGTCCGCGACAATATACATCTATCTTTTAAGATTAACTTGCAAGAACGACGGGGCCTGAACGACGTGGGCAAACAAGGCAAGATGTGTAGGAGGTTTGCAAAAACAAATTTAATGCCCTAAATAACTATTTTACGCAGACAAAGTCGCTAACACAGCTAGTTATTTATAAGTATAAAAATATAATTATGGCTTTGAGTTTATTGTTCCTTAAAGTAGTGTGTTTGAGAGGATCCTTATTGCTAATTCGACGCATTATTCGTACACACCCGTGAATTTATTCGTGCGTGTTTAACATGCGGCTATGTAATATATGTATTGTTGAATTCTGTGCATTCATTGCGGTTTAAAACTGTGTCTGGAAATTGCAACCGGTATTCATTTTATTTCTCTAATGTCATCGCTTTTTTGTTTTTCTTAATTGAAGGCTAGTTATTTTAAATTGTCGACTACATGAGGCCTATAATTATCTTTTATTATATATATATAACGGTTTCGTTGTTGTAATGGTAATAGTGAATGAAATAATCAATTTATAATTTTTCTGTAACATGTTGTACTTCGTAAATCTATATATTAAATAAGTGATAGAAATATCGAAATTCCATCATGGATCTCGAACCACCAGACGAAAAAGCCGTGAACTTTATCGCGGTTTCGCTTGAATATGTTGATTTACTAATATCTCCAAAGCCAAAAATAGATCGACAGCGTATAGTATTGTCCTCATCTATAATAAAAATACAAGCTGGTATTTTATTGCAGTTTTTATCAATTATTTATCATTAAGTGCATGCAACCCAGAAAGTAATTTCCGTCGATCGATGCAATAATCATGGCCTGAATATTGGAATTGATAAGAAAGTACTTTTTAGGGTTCCGTAGTGAAAAGGTAAACGCGGGACCCCATACTTAGTTTTGCGATGTCTGTTTGTCTTTTACCAGGTCGTATCTCTAGAACCATGAAGCTGAGGAAAATTACCTTTTAATTTTTTATCTTCCCCTACAACAGATGCGACTTTCTACAGCAACATATTTTGAAAAAAGTTTCTCTTTCTTTGGCCCAATGGTAGGTCGTGGGTTCGATCCTCAACGGGTCCAACATTTGTCAAATTTTTCAATTTATAATTTTCCAGAAACATGTTGGATTTCGTCTGAAAATCTGGATATTAAATGGGGGTACGAATATCGTAATTCCGTCCGGGTCACGAACCACCGTCCGCAGATGAAAAAGCCGTGAAGTTTAATCGCGTTTCGATTCAGTCTGTGGAGTCTATTAAAAAAAAAACAACGAGTCTTCTTCTATCACAATGTCATTGTTCCCAAATAATGTGACTGGCCGCAAAACGGCGAAGAGTATTTATAGTCTGTGGCGTGCACTCGATGCGAGGGCCAATGTTAAGTACACTCAGACGAAAAGGCACTATAATGCAGTGGAGGTGACAAGGGCGCTCAAGTGTCACTGTCAAGCGTATCACGGCTCTAATGAACGAATATGCTGATTTCCCGCGCATTTTACTACCAAAAGAACCTATTAGCTATTGCATATTCTATTATTAGTAAATTAACACTATTAACGGCTTAAAACGAGTAATGTATGAATTAATTATTTCTAAATGCGACCAGACGTTTCGGATCCTTTGAGGCAGTTATGGTCTAAAACTTAGATTGTTAATATATTTCGCATTATAAACCGTTGAAATGGTATTTTATTCAATGAAATAAAAATTATGAACACATTATTAACATGAACATAGCGGGAAAGACTAAATTTAGCATACAGTTCATGTAGTTGTGACAGATCATACAAAATACCTATAGATTTTTTCTAGAAATGATCATTTTTTAATACTAACATCGAAATATATTTACTCTTATGAGCCTGTGTATCAAGTAAGAATAATGAGATTATCACAAAAAATATATCATAATTTTCGTTGAAATAAAACTTACAAAATCCAACTTCGCATAAACAATACAAGTGAAGTAATTAATGCGTAGAAACAATTTTGTGTATTCAAATGTTATGCAAATTCAGTTATGGCGCCGTGCTGAATTTAATTTAAGCCTCATAACACTAGATAATTCTGAATGGACAATTAGCTTCTGTTCATATGATTAACACGAAAAACCGCAATTTATGTCGTTCAATTATCCCAACTCTATATTTATATTTTAGGCCTGCCTTTGTCGTACCGATCGTTTTTTATGACAGCGGAGTACAGAGAAGCATGAGGAAACGTAAAATATAACAATAACACCTAAACAAAATGCGCCGTCGTCCTATTTTGGCTTTGGACATACGAGAACTATTAATTAGGCTTTTTTACGCTTAACAAATCAAAAAACCGCAGAATATTTCACTACATATAGATATATTTTATCTGTCTAGGAGTAGATGTTGTCCTTGAAATTCTGTTAAGTCCATCTTCTGGCATTAAAAAAATGTTTGCAACGAGGAGAGATTTCTTCGGGAAGCAATAGCAAGATATAAAAATAGAAAGATTTGTGACTTGAAAACGTAAAGTTAATATTGAAATAATAACCAACAATAGCACGGATAAATAAGCGAAGATAGACCATAGACAATAGACAATGAAAACATCCGCCCAGTCGGAGACAAACAGACAAGGCATTCTTTGTGCTCTTAGATGGAGCCATGAAATCCAAGATTTCATGGCAGTTCAATAAGAAAATCTCAGTTTCCCGAGAACAAGAGAATGATGTGAAGGGGTGTTAGATTTTTTAATATAGAGAAGGATAGACAAGCATAGAGTTTATTTGATGAGAAGTGAAATATCCCAGCCATATAACCATCTTCAACACGAGATGCGCTGTCGATCTTTTTTGACTTTGGATATTCGGATGTTCTTAATTAAAAAGGGACGTGATCAATTTAGTGGAAGCAATCTTTCATATTCGTAAAATTGTCTGTAAGTTCGCAGCAAGCCATTCCTAAGACAATTGAAATCAAAACCAATTTCGCCCATCACATACTTCATCTTTACATTCTTTGTCTGATAGTTATGTTACATACTGTCTATAGTTTACGCGAATAGTACACATTTAAATAAAACACTTTAACGGTTTAAAACGCGATATATTAGTTAAATTCATAAATAATAAAGAGTTTAACTAATCTATCGCGTTTTAAACCGTTAAAGTGGTTTATTTAAATAGTTATATTATGTTTCATTATTGATTTGCCTGGCTTTATCTGTGGATTTCCAGCTTTATCAAATAAAGCATTATATTTGTTGAGTACTTCTCTTGCTTATTTCGTGGCCTATCTACTAGTTGACTTAGAGCACAATACGATGTTGATGAAATGCTCTGTTTAACGGAGTCGAAGCCTCCGAATGCATTTTAATACACGCGATACGAATGGATTTTTACTGTTTCTGGATTGCTCTAGGAGAGATTTGTTGGTTTACAGTCAATTTAAATAAAACATTTTAACGGTTTAAAACGCGATATACGCCTTAATCACTGGAAGACTTCCCGTGACCACGGCTGCTACGAAACATCGGAAACGTCGGACCATAGTTAAAAATAATTTTCAAACAAGTTTAACTAAAATATATCTCGTTTTAAACTGTCAAAGTGTTTTATTTAAATGTGTACTACTCGCGTAAACAATAGACAGTATTTACAGTCAATTTCAATTCACTGTGTATAATTTATTTTATTTACTACCTAAGTAATATTTTATTTATTTTACAACCTCTCACAATTTCCGTTTCTGAAACATCAACATCAACAGGGGTCTAAACAATTTCAGGGCTACTTTCTCGATACGTAATCCGTGATCCCGAAACAGTCCCTTCTTTTTTTAGAGCAAATTATTTGTATCGTTAACTCGCTTATAAAAACATTCAGTTTTGGTAAGGCAATATTATGAGCACTTAAAATATAATTATTTTGTATATTAGTATATCGTAGTATACCTAGTACTTTTTAGAATACAGCAGCCAAAAAACAACGCAGCGGACAGCTTACGTTTGCACTGCCTTTCAGAATTCCTGATTGGGAGGTCTCGAAAACGTAAACATCGGCCTTGTTGTTCTAATTTTAAAAATCGATTTAAAGTAATTTGATTTGGTCCATTCGAGCGTTCGATTTTCTTTTGGTCTTCTATGATAGACGTAGAAACAAGTGATTTTTTTTATTCTGGGCATGTCTTTGTTATTAAAAATTATATTGTGGTCTTATAATTATTCATAACAAAGACTCGTAAATTTAACCCGCCTTTGTTGGGTGAAGTATTAACGAAAAGTTTCATTATCAAGGCTTAGCTTATAACCGGGACGTGGAAGCAGGTGCTCCAACTTTTACCAGACCGGAAACCGCTCCTACTTTACTATACACTTTCTTAATTATTTTGACTTCAAACACATTTATGTGGTAATTGTTTATCTGAAATTAAAGCAGTTTATGGAACTAAAATAGACCTTAATACCCAATTTCGACAGATCATACTGTGCTAATTAGAATGCACTGTGGGCCCCCATGCACTGAAGGTTCATAAAACAGAAACGTGAAATTTATATACACACACACCACCTTACCTTCACAATACTAATTGAGGCTTAAATAAATATATCAAACACGGTTACAATGATTTTATATTAGCGTTTTCCAATACAAACTACGCTGATGGATTAAAACCCTTACTCAACATTGAAATCGTATCGTTCGAGATATAAATCCGGTCTAGCGCAATTAATTACAACACAATACTTTTTGTAAAAGAAGAAGAGCAATACAATTAATTGTCTTTGTCATTATATCTTCGCATTGTTGAAGAAATTAAACATCGTCTGGGAAGTTTCACCCCAAAGTGAGTAATGCTCAAATCGTAAAATTGTCGCGAGGGTGCGTGTCGTGTTTTAATGACGTCATTGCCCCTTTTCGCTGACTCAGCGCCTCAGCTAAGGATATTGGTATCTATGACATTCATGTATAACTATGAAAACTATAATTTACTTCTTATTCTACTAACATTATCAATGCTATCATTTATACGGTCTTAAACGATGATACGACGTTTTGATAAAATATATGTCTATATAACTCACATCTTGGATAAAAAAGTTTTCATATTTCTTTATAATCCAAAAAATTATAACACGGTCGCTTCTTACACTTGCGACCAGCGTACTGTACTGATGTTCTTCTATGTGAGCTACCGTATCCAAGATACATACAATAAAAACAAGGAATCCTATAAGTGTCAATTTGCACTAGCAACATTTTTTGAATTATGTAGGTACATTTTTTATGTATAAATCAATATCAAAAGTAAAAAAAAAACATATATTCATGGTAAATAGGTAATTAATGTCGCAATACTAAAGAATCTAACGTTACAATTACTACTAGTTCTGAAATCAAGGGCGTAGAACGAACGAGAAGAACTGGCAACAAACTCGCCGCCACTCCTTTTATCGCCAAGTTTCATTTTACAGTCCTCACGTACGTTAAGTGCAATGCATATTTTTTTTGTTAGAGACAATTGGTTGGTTTTACCTTATTCGTCTTTCTACACTACGAAAACCAATCTTTTGTAAGTACTATAAGGTGATAAAAACACTCTCAAAATGGAAACGACAGGCGATTTAAAATACAAAATGCTGAATTATTACCGGCTCGCTGTGTTCCGCATAAAAGAGTGCATTCAATTTTGAACTTAAAGCACAGTGTTACAGAGCACTTTGTATGTGATAATAAAGAATGCTTATTCGTTCCTGTCAAAACGTAAACGTTGGGGACGTAATTTGAAATTGAAATTATTGAATTTAAATTTGGCAAGGGAAAACCTTCCAGTATCTTTCCTAGTGTGGAGGAATGTTTGTCTGGTATTGGAAATGTAGCTTGTAGGACTCGTCTATAATTATGTATTGTATATAGCTGGAAGTAATGTTAGTATGCAACGACTTTTCCTGTATTCTACAGTGAAATTAAAATAAATTCAGTAGAGTAAGGCATAGAAGTCTGGTTCAATCCGTAAATGACGGAAAATTCCAAAAAGGTATTTTTTTTACAAAGAACAGTTTGCATTTTGAAGTTCCTTACAACTTACTCATGCATCAATAACTTCTGCAGAGTTAGAGTAGCCTCGTGAAGTTTGAATGAAATCTTGCTCCAACGAAGGAGACAGGCCATATTGATCGACGTTCAAGGCAATCATACCACAAGGCCAGGTCACCTAGGCACCGAAACACAATACGTGCTGAATTTGAGCACTTTGGTACAGTTGGAACTCTCATCATCCAGCCAACCCGATGATTACTCTCAACAATAATAGCAGCCCTCTACAAAAGTCATAATGATTTGTTAAGATTTTTACAAGTTCTAGAAAATAATTTTCTAGGATGATTAGATCCTAGGCATAGACTGAGTTTCCATAAATATTATATGCTCTTTAGAGCTTACTTAAATCTTCTGGAAAAAACCTGAAACTACTTCTTCTAAAAAGACCGTCCGTTTTACTCGGTCGGTTTTATTTCCAGGTGGGTAGTTATTTTGTCTTGTCCAATGTGTGTTCTTGTTGTGGGTCTTCTAGATTTTGTATGGCTGTGAAAATTTCTCCTTCCATCAGGTGAATCTTTGTGAATGCTTGTCTATCCCCTTCTGTTATGAAAAAAAACACATCATGGAGGTTTTGATTCAAAACGCACAAATTGTAATACAATACTGATCTCAAAACAATAATTAATAATGTTAAAATCTCATTTGCAGATCGTCTATTCTTTGTAGTGGTGTAGCCGACCACGACGTCAATATAAAATATTTCTGTGGGCCATTATAATTTTGGTTATAACTGCATAATCCAGCATCTCAGTAATTACCAGTGTTCCTCTAATTAGTCTTGTTATAATGGCTCGCAGCTTGTAATTCGCTTTCATCCGAGATTGCGCTAGACGAGGCGAAAATAAAGTATTTCACAAGTTGCTGCAACGTACCCTAGAGTTTTGTTCGCATTAAAGAATCGCAATCTAGTGCTTTTGTTATCCGTGTCGGGATAATTGAAGTTTCCAGCCTACAAGAGCGGTTATTAGCGGGTTTTCCTCCGTTCCTTCAGAAGCATATTGTGAGAATTAGGTTGCGGTTCGCTGCAGCAAGCCGAGACCTGCAGTAAATCTGGACAAGTCAAATTTAAAAAATCGTTAGAAGAAAGCAATAAAACATCCTTGTTCGTTAAGCGCGAGAGGTCCTGGGGTTAATTTTTAACAGAATGATACAATACAACTGAATAGGTCGAAAATTATGAGATCGTTGAGAATCTTAATTGATTCTTTGAGAGTTGATGATTGAATTTATTCAAATCTCGTGCAAATATACAGTTTTAGAGTCGAGAAGAGCACTGAGTTTCCAAGGCATTCAGAAAACTAATAACTTAAAAATATTACAATATTAAATACTGTCTACTTTACGCGAGTAGTACACATTTAAATAAAACACTTTAACGGTTTAACGGTGCAAGGACCCGGCCAGTTTCGCCAAATACCAACTTTGACGGAACAGATGGCGCTAGCGTAGCAATTTTTACTTTGACGTCAGAGACATCCTCCATCTTTAGTCTCCCCGTGACCACGGCTGCTGCAAAGCATCCGAAACGTCGGGCCGAAGTTAAAAATCATTTTCAAATAAGTTTAACTAATATATCGCGTTTTAAGCCGTTAAAGTGTTTTATTTAAATATTACGATATTGACGAGCTCGTTTAACGGGTCGTGGCTTCCAACGTGGTCCACCTGTTTATATGTTTTCTGAAACATCTTGACTTGCTTTTGAAATGGGAATATTGAATGAGAGGTAGGATTATCAAATTAACATTCGCACCACCGCCCACCGATGACAAAGCGTGAAGAAATCACATTCCGGTTTCAGCCTGTGGTCCTGAATATAAAGCCAAAGTTACTGAACAGTGCATCTTTAGATACTATACAGCTGGCGTATTTCTCCAACCGTCAAGTGAACTATGCTTGGTGGTATTGATAGCGTGTTCGTTGAACTTGGTAAAATACTTTGTCTTCCCTCTTCTTTCATTTACTTAGTTAGCCTGATTACACAATTTTACGGGCGATTTATTTTGTGAGTTCTCAAAGGAGTTTCCTTCCATCATACCATCGTGAATTGCGTTTCTAATTCATATAAATGAAAGCCAAAGGGGGTTGGATATTACGAGCTATTAATCATATCCGCCGGTCATTTGGGCGCCATAAAAGGAGATAATCTTGTATAGGGAATGCAACTTTATTTGCGGGTGCTAAAGTCTATTTTCCTGTCTGTTGTGGCTAAATGTGTAAAGGTGTATGGCTCCTTTACTATAGTTTTTTATTCAGGTGTAATTGAATATAAGAGATTTTGTATGTAGATTAAACTATATGGATAAATAGGGCATTGTTGTTGGAGGATACATTTACATTTTGCTTTCATTTCGAAGGCAATTTTTTCTACTAATAAAGGTGTATGTAGACTGTGTGTGTATATCTGTTCCTCAAGCCTAAACAGCGGGCCCGTTTTTATAGAATTGTTGCATTCAATTTAACTTTTGTAACAAAGATCATAGATCCCTCATAGTTGGCCTATGAGGGAACACTTATAACATTATGTAGTCCTGATTTTAGGCCTGAATACAAAAAAGTTTCACAAATATGCAATATGTTGATACAAAACAAAAACAAGTTTTAAAGCTTTAGTACGATTTTATACAACTTCCATTTTAAATGTAATAAGAATAAGAGAGACGCACAGAACAGCTGGGACTAATTCCATATCTTCTCATGGTTTTATATAATAAGACGAGTTTTCTTAATATAATTTTAATACTTACTTATTCATCTGTGTTTCCTATTATTGTATAAATTAAGGGACTATTCATCACGCTCTAGCGTACAATACTATAAATTAACAGTGGTTAAAATTTTCCACATTTATTAAGGCAAACAAAAGAAAAATGTTTATTAATAACGGAATTAATATTAAGAAAGATTGGCTAAAAGTAAAGAATAAGCCACCAGTTTTCACGTCGAAAACCATTTAAATGGTTTAAAATCAACCCGGTCTTAGCTTCGTGTTTTTGAGAGTACCTACTTATATTTTTATTACTAACTTGCGTGAATGGTGAAATATTAAAATTCCATCAGGGGCTCGAACCATCATACATAGATTTTTTTATTATCAATGAGGACAACGAGAGGTTGGTGGTGGACTTCAAATAATAAAGGCCTATTTCATTTTGTAATAGAAAATCAGAACGTCAGTATAATAAAACAGCAACCACTTCTTCTCAGTATACGAAATGTGAGATTGTAGTTTTAAAAAAGTTAACTAAAATAGTTATATTTTTCAACAGTAAAAACTGTTGACTAGTGAAATACGGTAAAATATTTTTTTTTTAAGAAGTTCAATATTAAGCGATATTGGACTTCTTAAAAAAAATATTTGAACATGAAGCTATAAACCCCACTAATATTTTTTTCCATCCTCTGGAAATGATATAACTTTTAATGTTAGTATTTTATAGACGTCTATAAATTTTCTACATCTTGTTCCAGGCTGATGGCAGCTTGCTTCTAGCTCTCGTTGGAGTGGAAGACGAGGGCCTTTACGAGTGTGGAGTGGAGAACGAGACTTCCTTCGTTGATAGAGTTAACGTCACTGTTAGAAGTAAGTAGAGCTTTCTATAAATTAAGTTGTAGGTACTATTAGAGTCTGTTAATCCGCATTGTGGCGGGGTGGGTCCTAACTCTTACATCTTATAGATGAGAATTGTGGCATAGTGAACTGTTGTCGTTGAAAATTTTGAAGGTTTTCATTTTATGTTCCAAATTATTATTTAGTTCTTATTTCAAACAAGCGTTAACATATTTTTTGCATAAGAGGGCTTATTTTGACACTAGCTGTGCCAGCCACTGCGTCCGTGACTCGTCGTTCTTGCAAATTAAACTTTCCCCGTTATATCGACATTCACACTAGATCTTCGCTCTACAACATCGACAAAAATTATACAATAATTTTTCAATTCGAACCTTTCAGACTCTTTACTTTTATATATGTTAGTATATCTTGTTGTGTCTGTTTATACACTTAAGCTTGACCCAATGTCGGTACAATGTGATAAAAAAAACCATTCCTCACGAATTCTATACACCAGTAGCTATTGTAGACACACCACATATTTCTCTCACTGCATGTTCAACAATCGCCCAGCAACCAGCGTGACTTGGCCTCAGGTGTCTATTATCTTGCTACGAGGAGTCAAGTAGACGGGTGTTAGTTGACGGCTCCAGATACGCTGGTGGCGTATAATGATAGTCATTACGCGACCTTCGCTGCAGTAAATCGCACTTTGTGCTCGCCAGTTAAAATGACAGTGGGTTTATTTTATTCACGTGTCATCACCGAGTTAAAAATAGTATGGCAGAAATGATTTATGCCATTTTTAGACAGAGATGGATAGAGACCGAGTTTCAATTGATGGAAGCTGTAAACATTTAAACAAGGCACTTGACTAATTTTGACTTAAGCCTCAACTCTGAAGATACGTTCTAGATTTTTTGACAACAGAGAGTCAGTTGCGTCGCCGCCCTCGAAATGTTGTAGGTATATTTATTTTCGATAAACATTAAGAAAACAAATTAATTTTATTTTTTCGTGTTTCTAAATATAAATTAATTCTAGAAATTATTTACTAGATGAGACAGATGGACATTATACACTAGATGTTAGTGAGGTACATTTTTCTATCATATTGTTCGATCAATTCCAAGTTTAGCGTGTATAGACAACAAGCCTGTAAAAACCTATACTGAGACAGCTGAAGGGTTCCGTATATTTTCAGAAACCTAGCTACTGGGTTTATTAAAAACAAGCTGTGTCAATGGCTTCGTCCGCGTAGAATAGTGGTTTTGGGCATTATAATTTGTTTTTGCAAACCGCCTTTTCATCTTAGTAAATTTATGCTGTTACCCGCGATGTCGTTCGGGGCCCGTCGTTCTTGTAAGTTAATCTTAAAAGATAAACATATAAACATATATTGTAGCGGACTATTTTTTAATCATTCAAAGAGACATCATTCTTTTATATTTATTTTAGAGAATTTTGAACTTCGCAGCGTAGGCCCCTTAAACCCCCAAAGAAAAAAAAAAACCCCCCTTTTTTTCCCCCCCCATTTCCCCGCGGGGCGGAAAAACACCCCCCCCCCCCCAAACACCCCCCCCCAAAAAAAAAAAAAAAATACCCCCCCCCCCGGATTTTTTTTTTGGATGTCGCCGCCGGAGGACCCAAAAAAAACCAAAATTAATTCAAAGTAATTTAATTAAAATAAAACTTATGTAATTACAATTTAAATTTACTACTAAAGAAACTAGTCTAGTTCCTATCGATGCTAGATATGGAATGACCGAGACACAGTAATAATGTTTAAAAGAAGTAATTGTGAAATGTGGAAGATTCCCATTAAAACGCAGTGTCAGATGGCGCCGGCCTCCTTTGAGTTCGTCGCTACCTCTTTCCGTCAACGTTGCATTCTTGCCTCGTGTGAACGATGTTGCAATAGTACACGGGGCAGCTGCTTACTCGCGATTTGCTAAGGGTGCGTCCATATAACACCTCCCCCCTGAGAACAGCAACTATTTCTGCATTTTGAGATGGTGAAATATTGCTGTCTTCTGCGATCCAGGATTTTCAGGCTTCGCGTAGATGTCATCTCGAGTAGGGGTGTTCTTTACCTTCGGCTGGCGTTGTAGTAACCCAAAGTGTCTTAGTATCAGGACACCTGAGACTACAAGTACACTTATTAGTATGATAGTGTACAGTGGTATAGTTGTATGATAAAGATAGTTCGCTGGTACTTGTTCAATTTGTAGAGTTGGTTGCGTCACTAGGTGATGCTGGGCTTCATGTAATCTTGTCAAGTCAATTGATTTGAGATAAACGTGGGATGAAGAGTTGGCGTGAGCTTCCTTATCGTATGGTAGTTTCATTATCTTCAAAGGGCGTCCTTCAATTTGATCATTAGTATTAGTGATAGTGAATTCTGAGGTGAACAGGAAACAGTTGACAGGCACTGTGATTAAGTAGGTGCCACTAAGGATGGTGTAGTCATCTCGTGCGCATCGCAGATGAATCTTCGTAGCATTTGGGAAGGATATGATATAGTGCTTCTCGTCAAGTTCTTCCAAGGAGATTCTTGAGAGTGTTATCGTAGTCATCTGGCAGGTCTTGTCCAAGGCTTGGTTAATGATGAGCTCTTGAGTGCAGTCTGGCTGCTGTCGTATCTGGTGGTCCATCTTCTCACCGCAGAGGTACCAGTGATTGTACTTCGGGCATTCTGCCTCCATGTACACGTAACCTTTCCTGTTTGTTGCTATTAGAGGATAAGGAGGGATGAGGGCCTGCTGGTATTTATTAGGAGCAATGGACAATCTATACAAGTCATAACTATCTTTAATAAAAAGAGGTAATTTAAATATAACTACTATTCTGGTACCTGAGAAATAATAACCAGGTTTTATTAGCTCATAATATTCCCTTAGTTCTAACTCTAACACATGTTCCTTACCGTATATTGATATTAACCTATTAATCATTTTACCTAAAACTTTAATACTAATCATTGAGTGGTGCGCGCTTGACGCACGGATAAAAGCTAAACTATTTTCTATTCTAATAAGTTCACTGATAACGTCATCTATGTTCTCTGTAATAATAGCTAAATGTTGCGCAAATTTCATGTAATTTAATAATCGAAAATAAATTGAAAAAATTTTTGCCCCGGGGGGGGCTTGCCCCGGCCCCCCCCGGCTTTGGGGGGGGTGGGTTTTTTGGGGGGTTTTTTGGGGGGGGGGGGGGCCCTTTGGGGGGGGGCGGGGGGGGGGGGGGGGGGGGGGGGCCCCCCTTTTCCCTTTTTTTTTTTTTTTTTTTTTGGGGGGGGGGGCCCCCCCCCCCCCCCCCCCCCCTCTTTTTTTTTTTTTTTTTTTTTTTTTTGACTTGAGTCTCTATATGCCTCATCTGAATCTTAAAAATTTTTTATTTATTATTTAATAAGATTGATTCTCTATGCACTGAATTAAATAATCTTTAAAGTTTCATTAATTTTTATTTGATTTTCAACAAGTTTAGACATGATATCAGAATGCTGGGCCATCCACTCGTTATTTAAAGTAATGTGGGAATTAAACTGATTGATAATTTTATTATCATTATCCTGTAAAATTTTAATAGCCTTATCGTACCTTATTGCATCAGAGTGATCTAAATTACCAGTGATAGTTTTAATTACGGAACCCAAGCCATCAATAAGACCTCTTTTAACTCTAGTAGATTCTAACGATTCTAAGTGGCTAAGAACATTTAATAGTTTAGAGGATAAGTATTCTATTTGTAGTTCATATAACATGAAAGTATCATTTTTCAATTGGAGTTTAAAATCTGCTAATTGGACTTGTAATAATTCTATTTTATCGCTAATATCTTGAAGTTGTATATATTGTAAGAAAGTATGAAAATGGGAAATAAGCCTCGTTTCTCCGAGTCTAAATGGGAGTAATCCAGGACCATCATCAAGGCTCTCAAGTGTTATCTCTTGATTGCGTTCCTGAGCCGTTATCAAACGAGCAGTCAGGACCAGTAGCACCCTGCAACAATTGGGCACTTTTAGGGACTCGTTTTAACCTACTTTTAGCTACGGGACCGCGCTTTCTAGAGGTATATATGTGTATAGGTAAGTCCGCAAGAACAGTATCCTGACTATATCGTGGGGCTAGCTTTTGACGACTTGCTAAAGGGTTGTTAACGAACACGCGTTGTTGGGGTTGGTACTCGATTTCCGGTTCGCGGGTTTTATTTAGATTTTCTATAATGTGAGTACGAGTACTCAGCGATGACTCATTTATTGCGTCATAGACAAGTTTCATATTGTCACGATGGGTTTGCATGTACTGCTGCATTAAGTGCTTAGATATATCTATATCGAGAGGATCTCGCGGGTCAAAGTGGCCAGTTATAATATCAAAAGGTCGGCACTTAGTGAATGAATGAATAGAACTATTGTATGCTAAAATACCGTACGGGATAAGGTTAATTACGTCCTGATTTTTATGACTAAGTTTTAAAATACGAAGGTGCTCAAGCAAAGTAGAGTGAAATCTTTCTACTATACCGTTATCGTTAGGACTATGCGGCAAAGTTCTATGATGATTAATTTTGTGTAAGGCAACAAATTCACTAAATAACTGATTGGTAAATTCTGTACCGTTATCAGAAACAATAGTTAATGGGAGACCATGGTGAGTGCAGAATTTAAGTAAAGCTTGTAACGTGCTAATAGCAGTACCGTCGCGAATATGATATGCCTGCGCGTATTTAGAGAATACGTCTACTATGGTCAAATATTTTTCATTTTGAATGGATAATAGATCGATATGGACTATTTCGAAGGGTTTTGTTGCCGGGGGAACTATATTAAACTGTTGCTTAATAGGATTACGGTCATATTTCGCTTGACCACAAATAGTGCAACTATTAATAAATTTAGTTATATCGTCCTTCATCTTTGGCCAATAGTAACGACGGGATAAAGCTAGATGGCACTCGTTTATTCCGCGGTGGTTAGTTTTACCATCGTGGTAATGTTTGAGTATCTCTTGCTGTCTTAAGTACTCTTTAACGTTCT